GTCACCCCAATCCTGGGGTGTCACCCCAAACTCAGGGTGACATCAATCCAATCCCGGGTTGTCACCCCAATCCCGGGTTGTCACCCCAAACTCAGGGTGTCATCACCCCAATCCCGGATTGTCACCCCAATCCCGGGGTGTCACCCCAATCCCGGATTGTCACCCCAATCCCGGGGTGTCACCCCAATCCTGGGGTGTCACCCCAAACTCAGGGTGACATCAATCCAATCCCGGGTTGTCACCCCAATCCCGGGTTGTCACCCCAAACTCAGGGTGTCATCACCCCAATCCCGGATTGTCACCCCAATCCCGGGGTGTCACCCCAATCCCGGATTGTCACCCCAATCCCGGGGTGTCACCCCAATCCTGGGGTGTCACCCCAAACTCAGGGTGACATCAATCCAATCCCGGGTTGTCACCCCAATCCCGGGTTGTCACCCCAATCCCGGGGTGTCACCCCAGGACAGCGACGTCGCCCCTCCCCCGGAGCCATCGGGGACCCCCCGATGTCACCCCAAAGCCGTGACGTCACCATCTGCCCCATGACGTCACCATCTGTCCTGTGACATCACCCTCTGCCCCGTGACGTCACCATCTGCCCCATGACGTCACCATCTGTCCTGTGACGTCACCCTCTGCCCCGTGACATCGTCTGCCCTGTGACATCACCACCTGTCCCGTGATGTCACCATCTGCCCTGTGACATCATCGTCTACACTGTGACGTCATTCTCTGGTTCATGACATCATCATCTGCCCCGTGACATCACCACCTGTCTGTCCTGTGACATCATCATCTGTTCCATGACATCACCGTCTGCCCTGTGACATCATCCTCTGGTTGATGACGTCACCCTCTGTCCCGTGACGTCACCCGGTGACATCGGTGTCACAGCAGGGGAAGCCTGGTCAGGTGACGTCATCGCGATGACGTCACCACCCATGTGACGTCACCCCAGTGACATCCTGGTGACGTCAGCGGTCACTCAGTGGCCTGCAGTGAGCGGTCAGCGGTCACTCAGCAGGTGGTCAGTGGTCAGTGGTCACTCAGTGGTCACTCAGTGGTCACTCAGTGGT